AGTCCATGGCCCTAAGCAGGGAAACATCTAGCCACAGACATGCCATGTGCATATGAATTTGGGTTCATTTCTTCAAAAGCAGCAGTGACCTGGGAATTCTGAAAGGGAGGCATGTGTGGGAGGACATGGGCAAGTTCAGTGAGATGTCATCAAGATGAGCCTGGAGTGCCAGGGACCAAGTCACCCAGACTCAACTTCATTCTTCCTACTTCTCTTTTGTGAACCAAAGTGCTGCTGTTACCTCCTCCAGGAAGCCCTCCCTGTGGTCCTCTTTGCAAATAGCCAACTGTGTTGGATGCTGTCTGCTCTGTTCCCATGATGCCTTGCTCCTGTCACTGTGTGCCTCCTGCCTTATGTTAGGACTGTTCATGTACATGGCTCTCCTGGCAGACCTTGAGCTGTAGGTCCTCAGGGAGGCATCTTCTTTGCCTGGTCCTCTCCAATGCCTGGCACATCCAAGCAGATCAATAAATGTCACTTGAGATGGTCATGAAGCTAAGATGCTCAGCACAGGGTCCAGGCAGTGCCTGAGGTTGGCATCCCCTTGAGGGTTAACAAACCTCTAAAGTCCTCTAGGGAGAACAGCATGTGGTCATGCGATGCATTATCTGAGCCTGAAACAGCGTGTTTTCCTTTGTGGATTTTCTGTGTGCAAGAGGGTGAGCAGAAAACCAGCTGTCTCAAAACCACTGCCTCTAACTCTGGTTGTGTTAGAAAAGGGGGGTTGTGGAGCGTGAGAAGGGCCTGTGTGAGCTCCCCTCATCTGATTCCAAATCCAGTGCTCTCTGCCACTCCTGCAGGGGGCAAACAGCTGTGCACAATGGGATCCCAGGATGAACATGGTGCCTGGTCATGGGGGAGGTGCTCAGTAACCATTTGTGAATGAATGAATGTATGAATGAATGAGCTTGTGGAGGAAGGGCCTCTTGCCATCCTGTGAGGCTCACAGTCCTGGAAGACTCCAGGCATGAGCCCTGAGCTGAGCTATGGAGAGGGCCAGGCCTGGGTTGGCAAAGATGGCAGGGAGCCCTTGTGGCTGGGTGATGGGGGGAGGCTGAGTGCCCATCTTGCTTTGGGGAGCTTCCACTTTGATGCTGGCTCAGAATGGGCATCTCTTGGGTGGAGGGGACCCTGAGGGGCGGTGGGAAGTTGCACAGCTATACAGGCCTCCAGAGAGGGGTCCCCCTTTTATTTTACTTCTTTTCCTCCAGCACTTAGAACTGGAGACATTGCTAAGATTCCTTGAGTCCCTGGGGCAGGGCTGGGGGTGGAGGGCAGTTCTAACAACACAGGAAGTGTGGATCAGGAAGGAGGGAGGAAAGGAAATAGACTGTAAGAGAGAAGGAAATTGTCTTTCAGGTGACAGCATCCTAACCCCTTTGTGGCCACACTTTGTGCCCAGACCCTGTCCTCTCCTCATGGTTCACTCCACCCTTTAAAACATGGTTTGTTTTCCCTTTGGTGCTTTTACTATTTTTGCCTGAATCCAGAACCCACCACCCTGCCCCCAGCCTTCTCAAAGAATGCTTCTGATACACATTCAAGTTTGAGAATCACTCATTTAGCTGATTTGGATCCAATCTGGTTGAAAACTTCTCAGTCCACCCTAACTTCGGGGAAAGCTTATTTGTTGACTGCCATTACTCATCCGTATGCTTTTGTTTACTAGCTCTGGGCACAAGGCAAGTTTCTCAAGTTGCCTGAGCACTTGTTTCCCTGGTTGCAAAATAGGGACAACCCAGCCTTTCCTGGGACCTCCCTGTCTTCCCATTGCCAAGAGAGGGTCCTCCCTGCCGCCCGATACTGGCAGCATCTCAGCCTCACCTGGGCACTTTGAGAAATGGAGAATGCACAGCTCCCTGTCTAGATGAAGGCAGCATCTCTGGGGGTGGCTCGGGGCTGGTACACCGAGGTGGGGAATTCTGGCTGCTCACTCCGGCTTCTCCCTCCCGTTACTTCCTCAAGGGAAGAGACATTTGACCTAGACTCTGGGAGAAGTCATGAGCCGGGCTGCCAACTCCTCCTCTGCTCTCTGGGATCTGCCACCTGCAGGGTGGGTGCATCTGGCCAGCTCTGGGTGGTGAGGTCAGGCGTCTGCATCGGGGAGGACGTCCACTGACAGCTTCATGTGCCAGCAATTGGGTGTGTGAATTGATCTTGCTCATGAGTGGGATATTGGAAAATCCACTGGCCAGAGATCGAAAGCTGCAGACTCAACTACTTTCTCAGAGACATGGCTGTGATTTGGGCCCCTATTTGCTGCTTGCAGCTATTTCTCCATTGGTCTTGACCCTGAGCAAGAAGAGAAAAGTTCTGTGTCCGGGCCCCACAAACCCCTAGCACCATGTACTGTACAGAGTTAGAGCTGAATTTAATGAGAGGGCCAGCTGCGTAGTCCATGTGAACTGTTGCACTGGATTTAAAATCAAGCTGTCTCTGATCAGCTCCACATGCTCCCTGGGGGCCTAGACCTCCTAGCCTTAGCTTCTACCACCAGCTCAGGCCACACTGTTAACTCCTTTGTCATCGCTTAGCTCAAGTCAGTAAGTGCAACCTATTTGTGGTGCTTCCTGAAGCACCTGGAAGCAAGGCAAGGCATGGGCTCATGAACGAGGCACACCTGGTGTTAGCGTGGCTTTGCCTGCTTTGTACAGCCTCTCTGGCTTCCACTTCCGGAGGTGTTAAACAGGGCTCACAGCGACAGTGACTATTACGGTGTATATCCACATGTCCCCCTAAAGCTGCATGTAATCATAGGTGGTATCTTTTGAAGGTGATTGGATTACAGGGGCCTTACAGCTGACTTGTGTTAGGTGGGTCCTGGACTTTGGGCACGGCCTGGGAAAGTTATATCTCTCTTCCCGGCTCCTCCCTCCTTCCTGTCTACCACGTCATGAGCAGCTTTCCTCTGCCTTACCATCCCACCTCAGAGCTAGCCGACAATGGAATGAAACCTTTACAAACCATGAGCCAAAATAAACGTTTCCTCCTTTGAATTGTAGGTGTAGGATATTTTGTGTCAGCAACAAAGAAAGTGACTAAGACAGATTTTGGTACTAGAAGTGTAGTCATTGCTGTGATGTTACCTGACCATGTGGCTCAAAAGCCTTTGGAACTGATTCATGGGAGAGGTTTGGAAAGGTTTGGAGATGCCAGCCAGAGAAGTCCTAGAAAGTTGTAAGGTGAGCTTGATGGGAAATTTTGGTCAGATCTCAGAAGATAAGAATGGTGATAATAATGTAGCCAGTAAAGACCAGGCTTAGAGGGGTTCAGTTGGGAACAAGGACTCCGTTGGCAGTTGGACTCCAGGCCATGTTTTATACTCTGGCAGAAAAGTTTTCTACATTTTGTTCATGTCCTTAGAGTTTGCAGGAGCTAAGATTAAAGGCAGTGGACTAATTAATATGGTGGAGGAAATTTTGAATGCAGCTCAACATTGAGGCTGTGGCATGGGAATTGTTGGCAGAGTTCAGTTAGATCTGTGTTGAGAATAAGAGTAATAGACATGGATGAGAGATTTAAAAAGTTTTGAGTTTCACCAGAAAGGAAGCTTCTGTAACTTTGGGGCTAAGAAAGTTGGAGCAGAGGAGAGCTTCATTACTGAAATGATTAAAAAGAAGCCAAATAGTTTGGAGCTCACAGGTGCTGGACATGAGGTACAGGATTTAAATTTACCCTGCTGTGTTTCAGTCTTGTTTTGGTTCCATTAGTTTGTCTCCCATTTCTCCCTTTTAGAATGGGAATATTTATCCCATGGCATTGTATGTCAGCTGTGTTTAACTTCTTTTGGATAGCACAACTAAGAGTTTCAGAGGCGATGTTGGCCTTGGATTTTTTGGCAATGCTGAAACTGTTGGGACTTTGGCAACTCTTAGAGATGGACTGAATGCAATTTGCATAAAGAGATGCATGTGTGTCTTTTGGGGCCAGGGCAGAATATTATGATTTCTATCTAGATGTTCCCCTAAACCCTCATACAGTCATAGACAGGGCATTTGGAAGGGGATTGAATTATAGGTGCAGTGTAGCTGACTTGCTATTAGGAGGTGTGTCATGGTTGGAAGAGGTGGATTGCTGTTGGCCTGACCTGGGAAGGTTATATCTCCCTTCCTGACTCCTCCCTTCTCACCCTGCTTCTGTCCACTGTGCCGTGAGCAGCTCTCTTCAGCCATGCCCCTTTGCCATGCCATCCTCACGTGAAGCCAGCCAACTATGGATTGAATCCTCTCTAAACTGTGAGCCAAAATAAACCTCTCCTTTAAATTGTGGGTGTGGGGTATTGTGTCTTAGTGATGAGGAAAGTGACTAAGACAAGCACTTTGGATCAGAACCATAGGAGAAATGGCTTGAGGGAATGTCGGACATTTGTAAGGACCCACACTTAGTAGGCTCAGAGTTGCAAAAGTGAGAGACTTGGGGCCAGGGATTTAGCTCAATGGTTCCAGCGCCTGCCTTACAAGCGCGACGATCCGAGTTCAATCCCCGGCACCAAAAAAAATAAATGAGAGACTTTGCTTTGAGAAGTGAACCCCAGGGGATCAACCCCAGAATGACTACCTCATGTGTCTCTTAAAACTTGGGCGAGCACACGTGAGACATTGACAGTGGCCCTAGCCTGTAGGTGGGACCTGAATAAATCATAGGTGTTGATAGTACTTGTTTAAAAGGGCTTCAATGTTTAAAACAAATTCTTGGGTGCTGCTGCTGTGGTCTAGGGACGCATTTTGAGATATCCGAGATAAGTGTAAACTAAAGGCAGGTGAGCTCTGACACGGAATGCTGGGGGAGGTCAGCTGATTGGTAGAGGCAGCTCTGCTGCCTAGATTAGCACTGCCTGGAGATACTTTACAAATACAGGCCACGGGTAAGGTGATGACTATTGGCCTGAATTGAGAGGTTTTGGGAGGTGGGAATTTCCACGGAAAGCTTGGACAATCCTGGGTGAACCAGGATCAGCTGCTCACCTTCCTGGCCTGCTCCACTCCGACCTGTTTTGATTGGTTTGGGCTGGGATCTGGGCGTGTGTACTTTTCAGAATGCCTGTGACTCCAAGGTGTAGCCAGGCACAAGAGCCTCAGAGCTTTGCTCGAAAGACTGGAAAGAAGAAGTGAATTGTGAAAAAGATTGGAAAAAATGCTACAAAAGAGGACAGAAGTGAGCCAAGCAAGAATTGAACTACTTGTAAGCAGATCACCCGGGAAACTTGGTGAAGTGCAGATGCCCAGGTGCTTACCCCTTATCTGCAGATCAGAAGGTCAGAGCTCAGGCAGCCAGGAGACTCAAGAGGCCTTCTGAGACCTCCTGCTCCAGGTGGGAAACTGGGAGGTACCATGCGGGGAGAAGAGAGCTGGGAGACCCAGCTATTGTCCATGCAGGTAGTTTGTTGGGAGGTTTTTAACCTGGGGCCAAGGAGGGAGAAGAAAGTAGGAGAGCCCAGGAGAAATGGGGTCCACCATGCCAGGGGGAGGGACAGTGCCTTGCAGAGGCAGCTCCCTGCTTACAGCCTGTGCCAGCTCAGGGCGAGCATGTGGTAAGGGCATCGCTGTATGCCCGACCCCCTCATGGACAATGCGGCTGTGCCCTGTGTGCCCACAGAAAGCCAGAGTCCACACAGGTGAGTGCAGTGTTGACACAGGGAGCATTTCCAAGTGAATCACCTGGATGTGGAGGCTGAATAATCTACAAAAGAGCTCTGGGGAAGGACACCAAAAGCCTTCAGGCAGCCTGTCAACACTAGCCTCTAGTCCCAGCCCAGACAGACGTGTGCTTGTGACCTTGGCCAGGTCATTTGACTTCTGTATGCATGGTGTCCTTAAAATGGTGCTAACACTCACTCGTTCTTGTGAACATTGAATTAGATAATGCACACAAATGCCTGGCATGTGGTAGATAAGGGAAGAGTTAAAGACACTTCCGTGGTTTTGAACCTCAAGCCTGTGGTGTCATTCCCAGAGGAAAGCGGGGGTGGTCTGAAAGGGGAGGGAAGAAGACCTGGCAGCGGGTGGGGGTGGATTTGGTGGTACCTGGATTGCCATTTCTTTTTTTTTTTTTTTTTTTGAGACAGGGTCTTACTACTGTGTAGTTCAGGTTGGCATCGAACTCACTACGTAGCCCAAGCTGGCCTCAAACTTATGATGATCTCCTGCCTCAGCCTCCTAAGTGCTAGGATTACAGGAATGTGCCACCATGCTTGGCTTTTTCTTCTTTTTTTTTTTTTTTTGCCACTTCTGAATGGAAATATGGATTGGAGATCGGAAAGGAGGGTTTCAGAGGGATCCTTGCTGAGAGAGATGGAAGGGTTTATTTTGAGGGAGAAGGGCAGATATTGGGTCCTGAACCTTGGCAGAGTCTGGCATATCTGCTAAGTGTCAGGCTGTGTGCTGGGCACCAGGACTCCTGTTAAGCAAGATGCTGATAGAAGAAGGTCTCAGCCCAGTGTGAGACACTGTAATTCAGGAAGCAGTAGATCTGCCTGATGTTGATCACGGGAGGAACAGAGTGTCAAGGAGGGAGAAGGGGCTCCGGAAAGACTTCCAGCAGGAAGTGCAGCCTGGTGGGTGTCAGGGGAATGGGGGTGGAGCTCCATGGGCAGGGGTCCAGGTCCAGGGGGGAGGCAGAGGCCACAGAGAGCATGGGGACAGCTGGGTAGGACTGCATGTGTTCATACCATGAAGCTGGAGAAATGAGCAAAGGGCCTGTGGAGGGTGGAGGAGCGGAGAGGTGACAGCAAGCAGCACTGCATCCAAGATGAGGTGGGCTGTGGACCTTGGGCAGCTGGCACTGGGAAGGGACCCCTGCAGAAGAGAGGCCTGGGGTGGAGCCTGCAGGGATGGCAGGGTAGGAAAAAAGAGTCTATACAGCATGCTTTGGGCGTTTGGAGAAGCCTGGGTTCCTAGAAGAAATCCCAGCTTCTGGAGTCTGAAGTCCTGCAGCCAGAGTCTCACTGCCCTATGGGAAGCTCATCCTCAGAAGTCACAGTGGGAAAAGATCCCTACACCTTTGGCATGGGAAATGCCCTTTATTGGCAGAGAAGAGGGTGCCATTAAAAGCAGAAATGAAGCGAACAAATCAAAATGCCCTGTGTTTGTCTGGAAATCCCAAGGTCTGACTTGACCTTGTGGATTTCTAAAGGAGCATTCCTTTCCCTTGCTGAGTGTCACTTGAGACACCACTGGAGGGTGCTGGCCAAGGTCTGTTCACCTTCTGTCCCTGGCTGACCCTGGAGGGGTGGGAAGGGCCTCGGTGAAGCCTTATTTCTCCCGTCTCATACACTACCATTAGTGATCACTTAGGGAGAACTTGCTGAGAACTGAGGACCGGCCACAGGTAGTACAGTGCCAGGAGCTGTTGTAAGTCGAATCTAGATGGGTGAAAGTTTCACTGGTATAAAGAGTATAAACCAGAAAAAAAAAACATAATGTGAAGTGCCCAGAAGCAGTAGTGTATAATGCAGTGCAGACAGTACTCTGGGTGTGTGGGGGAACTCAGGTGGACTGGAGTGGTCAGGAGGTTGCCCGGAGAGGGTAGGCTGTGCTCAGGTTGGATGGGAGGAGGTGGCCAAGATGGGACATGGGAATGGGATGGGGACAGTGCTGCTGAGACTCACAGAGATGGAGCAGAGCCATCCTTCACTATATTTCAAAGGTAAGATCGTCTCCCACTTCTAGGGTTTAATTGCAGGGAAACCTACTGCCTTTGTGTACGTTGAATGCAATGCCATTGGTTTGATGCAGTGCCTTCTGCTGGATGGGGTCAAGGACTCAGGCAGGAGCAGCATTCATTTATCCATCAGCTCTTATCAAGTTCTTGCTGTGAGTGTAGAAAGATTCCCCCTAGGGGGAGTTGGAGATAAAAAACAGTGGCATCCATGCCCTCTGGGAATTCCCGTCCCTCTGGCAAGGGTACCCTGAGATGGGAAGGACAGGGAGGGGGCAGCTGGGCAGTGACTGTGTGGCAGATCAAGGCCACGGGGGCAGGAAGCCACCCCAGATTAAAGTATCTTGTCTGGGTTCACTCCCGACCATTCAAGGACTGTGGGTAACATTTTTGGAAGTGTATAGGGAGTGGCTGGCAGGGCTGTGCTTCCTGGCATAGACCTCCTGCACTGGTGTCTGTAGAGATGGGCAGGACCAGCTGAGTGATTTGCAGGGCCCAGTGCAAGGGGGAAGATGCAGAGTGCCTTGTGCAGAACTCACTAAAAGTTTCAGACAGGGATGGGAGTGTGTTAAACGAAACTCAAGTGTGGCTGTGTGTGCCCAGCGGGCAGCCTGAGGATGGGGCGGCCCGGACCTTCCTGGTGCATGGTGAGTTGCTGGATGCTAGGCTTCTCTCTGCAGGTGCCAGTCTTTCCTGGGAGCCGGGCTGGGGGACAGGTGAAGCGGGGCTGGGGTGCCTACTGTTTGCAGCTGTGCTCCCCCTTCCATCTCGGCAAGCGGGAAGGCTGTGTCAGTTCTGGAATCTATCCAATGGAGGTTCATGTGCTTTATGAGCTTTACTAACTTGTGCAAGTTACCAGCCTTTTCTGAGCCTTAATTTCTCACAGTGCCATCTTTGCAGGATGTTGAGATGATTAATGAATGTCAAAGTTTGAGCCCAGCCTAAGCTATTTGTAAATGTTAGCATCTTTCTTTCTAGAAATGTGTTGGATATTTATTTTTTAAAGTATGACATGTTGGGATACCTTATTGTCATTAATGTTTTTTCTATCCTAGGCTTGCTGGGGAAGCAGCTGAAACACATCCCCCTAATTTTGACTAGCAGAGGCTGAAAGAGGGTGCTAGCTATAGAGACACACATACACACACACACACACATGCACGCACACTCCAGAGCCGAATCAGACCTGGACTGGAATTAGTTGGTGTGTTAAAGGAACCAGCCCTAATTGGGCATCATCTGCTGGACTTGAGCCTTAGTAGCCTCACAGGTCAGAAGTGCTGACCTCCCCAGGTCACGGTGAGAGGAAATGACACCTGACTGTGTGAGTGCTCGGGCCCTGGCCTGTAGCCACATGAGCATCCTTTGAACGCTCCCTGCGCCAGGCCACAGTGTGATTCATGGGAAACTGAAGGGAGGACACTGCACTCCCCACACTAACATTTCCCTACGTTAGGCCTGGGCACCGCCTTTGTCAACGGTGAAGGGTGCTTAGAGGTTGGTGTGGAGACTGCTTTTCAGAAGTATTACTGTTTCCTCAGTGCGTGGAACTGGGGAGTGACTGGGTCGTCTTTCTGCTTAGAGGTTGGAAATCATGTGTATTTGCTTCTCGGAGATGAACACACATACACGCATGCCACACATGTGCATACCGCATTCATAAACACACACCATACATGCACACATATTACCTACACTCCATGCGCAAAACATACATACAACTGACACATATATACCTATAGCATGTATGCACGTAACACATGCTCAACACATGTACATATCCCCCACATTATACATACATGTATACCACCTACACATGGACACACCACACATGTGCATACACCACCACACACCCTCACATGTGCAGATACACTTACATCACCTGCACACACGTCACACCAAACACACATGTGCACACCACTCCCACACACCTCTGCAGTCTGTGCCCGTAGAGTCAAGCCCTGCCTCCCATGCCCCCCCACCCCATCTCCCGTGCTCCTCACTGGAATGTGCTCTACTTGCTAATTCCAACCCATCACATCAACCAGTCCATGTTCCTTCTGAGGCCTGGCTGTTCCCGAAAACGCCGCTTCAAGGCTACCTTTCTCCATTCCCCTCGTTTGCTTCTCACAGACTCTTGAACTGGTACCCAGGCTGTGAGAGTCCTGTTCTTACCCAGGGGAGCAGCTGCTGTCCAACCAGCCCTACAGCCAGAGACCGCTGGAACCAAACTGTGCCTGTGGGTGCTCCCCTGGGCCTCTCCCCACTCCTCACTCAGTCCCAGGGACCCCTGGCTTCTCTCAGTCCTCTTAGGGACCATGCCTTTAACCTCAGCTACTGCCAAGAGGAGCCTGGGGCTGGGACAGGGGAAGAATTTGAGGGTGAGTGACTGGCCCTGTGCTGAGCTGGCCCCCTGATACCTGCTCCTCATTTGGGGTCAGAGTAGTTTGGGGAGGTGACTTTGTTACACCTTTCGTCCCAGAGGGAACAAGGCTCATGGTACTAAGTGTTGTAGCCACAGGCTAAGCATGAATTTCCTTGCTTCCCAACACACCCTTTGGGCTTAGAGATCTTCCCCAGGATCTATTGAGTATCTTCTGTTAGCGGCTTTTCTAGAGTAGCCAGCTGCAGTGGCTTTGTCCTTAGTAGCTTGA